GCGCCGGGGACCCCCTGAAAGACGCGAAACGGGGAACTATCACATAACAGCATGGGGGCGGAGTCGACCCACGAATTCCGCTCAGCCAAAGCCAAGTGCTGCAGACGAGCAGCCGTACCGTCGCGGATAACGCCTTTCTTCTTGTGAGCGAAGCTCCCTGAGAACCTCGTGATACATGAGTACTTTCAGAAATGCAAACGACAAAGGAAGCTGGACCATATATCTTTGAATACGCTCGCCAAATTGCCTGGATCCGATGGAAACGCTTGGAGCGGCAAGCTGATCGGAGATACTTTACTGAACGGGCAGTACTCTACAGTCAATTTTCTACGAGCTTCTCTAGCTTGCAAAATTGTTCGGTGACGATCACCTCGGCATCCGATCACACGTGACGCCATGCGTCTCGGGTTTCCTGCCAAACCGGCTATATCTGCGGAAACGAAAGCGTCGATAGAAAGCAGACGAGAACGACGACCAGACGTTCGCAAACGATCATCACCCACTTCCATTTCGAAGAGACTCTCTAGAGCGGGCGCTGGCGGGTCGTTCATGTTTTCTGATCGTCTTCCAGAATCCAGAGCGAGCGACTTCAACAAGCGGAGAGCTAAAATCCGCGATTGACAGGCGCGTCTCGAGTGAAACTCAAAATTGAAGAACCGCGAAACTGTCATTCAACGATTTAGACAGCATGCAAAACTACTTTCCCAATGTCGTCGCCATCAAAAATGACACGGACACTTGCGCGACAGCAAGTCCGACTTGTCGTCACAATTCAGCATCGTCGAGCCAGTCAAGGTTTGAACTTGAGACCTTTCCCTTCGGAGGGGAACGCGATACCACTTCGCCACAAGCCGCTTTAGTCGGCGGGCGCTTTCCTTGCAATTAGAGCGAATTCAATGCGATTACAAGACGGAAAGGACCATGATTCTGGGCTGCACGGTGCGAGCCGCAGAAGAGTCTCTGAGCCCCATGCGTGGGTTTCCGAGCCCTATCCGTGAGTTCCGGACTAAAAGCAAGCCATATTTTATGCCGCCCCATCCTATGCGACCCACTTCGCCGAGTTTTATCCTACAGGGCTTCCGGACAGCCAAGAAGCCTTTCAAACGATAGTATGCTCAGGGGATCCGATATACATGACGCCTATGAGAACCTTGATAGCCTTCCTTGGAAAGAACTACCCAGGCGACGCCAACTTTTTCAGTCCCTGTACACGCTCTTCTTTGCGACCGTGACTCTAGACTTTGCGAGCCTGTCTCCTTTGATCGCGTGCCAGTGCAATCCGTAGAAGATCATTCCTGTGCGAGCCCTATCCCACGCGTGATCAGGAAGGGAAAGGACAAGTAGGATCCGTGAGTTCCCAACCTAAAACGAGCTACATCCTATCCGTGCCTTATCCGTGGGTCCCAAACTTTTGGGTTGACCCAATGGGGTAGTCACCATCACATCATGCTTTGCTCAACCGATCCGAGCTGCATGATCAAACTAGCGTGCTCTGAAAATTCATCGGTATCCAGCTCATGCTTCATTTCCTCTTTCAGGAGAGCAGGACATCGAGGCTCTCATTCACATCCTCCGTTTCCGATCCTCACTGATCAAGACATGCGGGATGACATCTACACAAACGGGGTCACATGAGGGCCACCAACCTGAGCTCGTTGATGCCTTGCATCCACAAAAGATGAAGACGAAGCGTCAAGCAACACACAACTTTGAATACGAAGCTGAGCTCTGACCTTCCCAAACCTGTTGAGACCTGGGAAGACGAGGAAACCACTCTGCCTCATGCATGGAAGTAGCTGAGACGGATCATCACTCACAAAGACGAAACAATCTGCTACATGCGCTATGTCGGAACATGGCGTGGCCTAATCGCGCCGTTTCAACGAATGCAAGACATGAAGACACGAAAATCGGGCATGCTTGGAGAGTTTCTGTCTACGCTGCGGGACGCTGCTCCGGATACATATGCGTCACTACTACTTGGTTATCCCTTCGCCACGATCTCCATGCTGTGCGAGCCCTATTCTTTTGAGTACGTTCGAGGTCTGTAAAGGTGGTCGCCTGGGAGACAACGATCGACCTCTCCGCAAGCAAACTTGCTCAGCAGAAAATCCGCTAGCAGGTGACTGTCGATTTGACATTTTACCTGCACATCCTCATGATGTTTCGCGAGATCATCGCGAAAGCCAGGAGACTCGCCTGACGGATCTGGAAGAATTTGAAAGAAGAACTGGACAGAGAAGAAGCCTGAGCGTCCGAACCTTCTAAGTCCTCAGACTCAGACAGTGAGGACGACAACGATCTCGACGCAGCTGCCGCAAATAAAAACTTCCAGGAGCTTCTCGAAGCTGTTCCGAACGCAGTGGAATGGAAACGCCTGTGGAGTCAGTATTGGTTTGAGGCAGCGGAGGTTGAAGTCAGGATCAGAACTCATGAAACCATCGTCGACTCGCGCATGCTTCGTCTGAAGGTCAACGACGCCACGTACAAGTGCTCGGCGTGCATCACGCGACCGAACTGAGAAAATTTCCAAGGACCTTTGTTCTCTCCGGAGGGGCCAGGAAGGGCGAATTCCCCTATGATCGATTGCGAAGGGATGCCTGGGGGACCTGGCACGAGAACGGACTGCCCCCGTTGATCGAATACGATATCATCGCCAAGCAGAGCGAGCGCAGAAACGAGCTCATCCGATGGTGGGGTCGCCGAGCAGATCAAGCGCAACGTGACGGTAGGGTCCATCGAACCTGGTCTCAGGAAAGCCGACGTTACCGCGGAGGAGCGGGCCACGCTCTTTCCCGATTCCATCCCACCGCCGGCCGAAGGTTCCGAGGTCGTCCCTTGGTCTTTCGACCAGGAGACGTGGGATCATCTGCACAATGATGTTCACGTCTTGACCAGGAGCATGGAAGCTTACCATCGCCGCGCCGAGGACATGCACCGAACGATCCCCTATCCTCTCTTCTAGGACTTGCACTATCGGTGTTACGAGCGGCCTTCCTCTTCCAGCGATTCTTCTTTTGCGGAAGTAAGGACGGAAAGATCGCCAAGATGGTCTCGCCTCTTGATTGCGGAACGGCCCTCGGATGGGCTTTCGCCATGTACTGATCCTGGTTCATGCCGAACGATACGATCTACGTTCTGAACCCGGTCCCCCACGTCTTTGTTCGCGATTCCCTCCGAGGCGGTCGCACAGACAAGCGAGCAACCTACGTTGAGGTCACGAAGGAAATGTGGGAACAAGGATTTCGTCCCGAGGCCTCTGGACGGGTCCCCCGTGGACTCTCTGCCTGCCACGCCCAGACACGCACCACGGCCTCGAGGACGTCACTGAACCGGTGTTCCTTCGCCTCGTCATTTCAGAGATCCTCTTTCCGGAAAGATCCCTCGAGAAGCAACGTCTCAAAGCTCGAAAGTATCTCGACAGTGATTACTGCAAACCCACAAGAATTCTCATCGACTTCTCGTCCCGGACGCGCTGCCTATCTACGCAGGCTCGTTTCTAGGCGACATCGTCATCCCTCGCGACGACGACGGGAATCCGGAACGGGTAAATCGTCCTCTCGCTCCGAACGATGGTAAGCTTACCATCGCGCGGCCCTCACAATGGGTGAGAATCTTGCGCCGGCCCAGGGACGTTTTGATAAGGGAGCATAATCTTCCTCTTGTAGCAGACGGGCACCAGCTTTGATGGGATGCTGGTGCGAATCCTGGCCGTCAGGCGGGGACATTTGGGAGGCAGGGGAGCCGTTTGCCGAACCAAAGACCCGTCAAACCAAAGACAGGAGACGTGGCCCCCCAGCATGGCCCCGCGTGTCGTCCTTCTTCAAGCGCCCGCAAAGAAGAGAAGAGGCCCCGCAGACAAAACGACAAACCGCACCCTCGAAAGACGACACTGTCCGCACACGATTGTTGGAGATGAGCAGGCCATGATGCGAGGCCGCCAGTCCTTCAAACACGAGCATGACCTCCGCCGTCGTTGATGCAATCAAATGTGCTAATTGCGAATTCAGTACGTGAACCTGACATGGCTCTCTTTCGTGGATGCCAAAGAAGCGAGGCGCTGTGCCACCTTCGTCCACCTAAAGCGAGTCAGCGACTGACAACAGGGACCAACTCGACCGTTGTTCGGTGGAAGTAGAGAAGGAAGGAAGGTTTACGAGGAATTCAAAACCTCAGTCGCTGCATAGCATCCGCGGGATGACGGGTCCTCCAGGTCTGACGGTTCGACTCCCATCGCGGCGCTTCGCGATTAGCTCAACTGAGGAGACGGTTCCGACGATCGCGAGAGGAAACTCGCAAGACGAGGACTGTCGATGAAAACATCCGACCCTGCTATCTCATCGGCCGGATGTAGACCACATCCATGGAACCTTCTCGTCCTGTATCTCACACCGGAGAAGACTGCTGGTTTGAGCAGACTGGGATCGCGTGCAGTGGACTTGGGACCTGATACCTGCGACGTGCTTGACCTTATCTTTTTCCCGTTTCGAGACGCGGGTACTGTAGAGACACGAGATTTCTTACGAGCAGCAGCACCGACTGGATGGATGGAGAGGAAGGCCCAGAAGAGAGAGAGAGAGAGAGAGAGAGAGAGAGAAGGGCAGAAAGGGTCGTTTTTTAGACAGGCAGCAGAGTGGGGACCTAACACACGGGTCAATCGTTCGAGTATAGTTGCAACAGGGCCAAGGCAACCACCGCTATGGATCGTGTATGATGTTGCAGGATGCGACGGGCTTCCTCCTCGTCTGAAGGGAAGTTCAAGTCTTTGCGTTCCCCGGCCCTTGGTGGGACTCCGAAAGTGTTTTGTTGGTGCTCATTCTTTCGGCACAAAGTCGAGAAAAAGTGATTTCGACAGCTTCCGTGACTGTGCCACATGCAAATCTGCCATTTGCTCATAATTCATTTGCTACCGTTCGTGCGGCATGCCCTGTTAGCTCAGTTGGTCAGAGCGTCCGCCTAGTAAGCGGAAGGTCCCCAGTTCAACTCTGGGTCAGGGCAACTATTTATCATTGTCGGCACCTACCAACTGCCGTCAGTCAATGCGGCGATCTACTTTTCAAGGCCCAGCGCAAATGTTTGATGTTGGAATGGGGTGGATGATCTTTTGGTCAAGAGCCTTGCGAGGTGGAAATGGAGTTTCAGATGGCGACGACCGGAGTACACAGAGCGAGTCAAGTGAAGCAGCATCTAATTGTGAAATGATGGTGGGCCGCCTTCTTCGGAGAAGGAGGGTGTCAAGAATGTCCGAAGACTGATTGTCAATGGGAGAAAAAACAACATTCTAGAAGGGTGTCCGAACAGAGAGCCCTGTGATGATCTCTCACGTCACCCCCGCAAAACCCACCGACCAACTCTTTGAAAACCCTTTCGACCAAAACCTCCTCTCCCCGCCATTCCTCCTACTTTTTTCGCCAACATCTCAACGATGAGACTCGTGGCAGATTTCTGCATCATCCCGCTCGGCGTAGGAACCTCGGTATATACAATACACACATGTGCAACCCCCGTCTCCCCTCCCTCCCTTCCTTCCCCACTGACGTGTAACAACCTTCCCACGCAACAGCTAACAAAGCACGTCGCCCAAGTGCAACGCATCCTCGCCGCGGCCTCCTCTTCCGGAAAGATCAACCACCTCATGCACGCGTGCGGCACCAACGTCGAGGGCGAATGGACCGACGTCATGGACACCATCAGACTCTCCCACGCGACCCTCCACGCGTCCCCGCACAGCGCACCCAGGGTCCACACCACCGTGAGACTCGACACGAGGAGCGACAAGAGGGCGAGCATCGAGGGGAAGGTGGAGAGCGTCAGGAGGGAGTTGGTGAGGTTGGGTGGTGGTGGGGACGAGGCT